TATATATATATGTGTGTGTATCATATTTGATTATTTTGTTGAAAGAGCCTTGTATGTAGTATTTTTTTAATGTATGAAAAGACATTGAACTAATTATGTCGTAAATTAAATCTATAAATTGAACATATATTTTGAAATGAGTTAGTTTTTATATATAATGTTGCTTATCGGTAAAAAATTTTTCGTATAATCATAGATCGCTATACAAAATTATATTAAAATATATACAATATAATGTATGATCCATTATGTAATTATATCCCACATAATACATAATATCGGGTGCGTTCTGATATTCACTGCCAGTGCTGAAATTACACAGTATATGTTACGTGCTATAGATTTTCAGCATTGGCAATGGATATCGGAACGTACCCATTATAGTAATATCATAGCAATATCATTTTTCCATTGTAATATTACAAATCTAGAAATATTATTGAAATATTACTGAGATATCACAACAATATTACAATGTAAAAATGGATTACAGGAATATTATCTAGATATATCACAAAAATATCACTACAATATTGTATAATATTTCTGTGATATTTATGTAATGTTTATATTTATGTAACATTTATTGGGAAAAATTAAAACGTTTTAAAGAGAATTTTTAAAAGAATTTATTAAATTGATATTTTTAATGTTATTTTTAAAATTATTCCATATGATATTAATTATAAAATAATACTGATTGTCAAATACACAATAACTATTATATAATATTATAATAAACTGAAAAAGTTATACTAAACTAAATATCACTTGTAAAATTATGTGTGTGTACATATTATTTTGTGATATTTTAATAACGCCTTACTGACATCTCTAATGTCAACAAAACATCATAAAAGCGTTATTAATAATGTCATTTTGCTACTTAAACCGTTATATTGTCACAAAATTGCTGTGATATTTCAATGTTGCTTATCAATATGTAATACATCAGTAATATTTCTGTGATATTATATTGTAATATATGTAATATTTCTGGTATATTGCAATATTACTACTTATTTTACTTGCTATGTGAGATGCAATTATATATAATGCTGTTATAATTCATATATAATTATATATATAATACATAAATTCTTCATTGTGTGTATTTATATAGTATTTTCATTACAATATATGAATCTATACAACGATTTATATACATTTTTCTACATATTTATATGTGATTTATTGTAATTTACATATAAAGTTATGTAATTACATATAAAGTATCCAGTCACATAATTTGTTATATACATATGATTATACAATATAAGAAATAAATATGCAGCTTAATGCTTGAATACGGCACTATTTATTTTTGATGTAGATTCATAATGATATTAAAGAAGATCGAAATCCATGAAGAGTTTAGCGTGTCTTCTCCTTGTAGATTAAGTTAAATTAATTAGTTGACATATAAAATTAACTTAGGGTCTTAACACAACTTATTGTCGTCTCTTTATAGAGACATAATAAGTTGCATCTACACATCGTACATCAAAGCTTGTGTGTTATAGCTTATGTCTATACTTAAATCTTTGTGTTACAATAATTCTTGTGCTCAGACTATTACAATGAGAGCTGCATGAATAAAAAGATAATTTTAAAATAACAGACAAATTTTGGGCGAATGAGAGTATAAACGCAGAAATTGTAACGTAATATTCTTGTCTATTATTTTACATCGAGAGTTTTACGAAGTTTTACTTCTGTTTAGAGACTTTAAGTTGAAAGTAATGTAAAATTAAACTAAATTAAATATGTTAATTTAAAAAAAAATTTTATAATTTAAATTGAAACCTTTAATGATTTTGCGGGAAAAAATCCTTTTCAATAAGTTGGCAAAAACACTTTTTTTAGCAACCCATATATATTTTATTTAAAAAAAAAGAGCAATTACATTACTTCATAGAACAACGTTTTAGCTTTAAGAATCTATATTTTTATTTGTGATATGCTGATTTTTAACGAAGTTATGAGCAATAAAGTCAAAATGTTTCTTTTTACTTAATCCGCGAGTAACTCAGAAATAAAAAATGGTAGGAACATTTTAAAAAACGATTTTGTAGAGAAAGTTCCAAACCTTCACGATAGATAATCGTAGAAAATTAGCGCAAATTTTTTTGGGCACGCTACAGATCTACAAAGGGAAAAAAAATTTTTTATTTTTTTTAGGTAGTTTTTTATATATAAATATTAACAAAACTCACACAAATTCAAAAAATATACTGACCATTCGAAAGTAGAGATTTCAAGCTTTAAAACTTTTCTTTTCTTAAATTTAAATTTTGATCATTTTTAACGAAAATATTAATGGAGAAATGTCTTTTTATCAACTTGTAAAAGGACTTTTTCCCTAACTTAAATTATATGGAAATGTTCTTCAATAATTCTGCGTATAACGTAAAATATATGTATAATATCAGAGCAGAATAAAGTAAACAAGATTCTACGAAAAAAATATAATAAGTTAGCTACGCTGATGCTGAATACTGACGCTTTTCTCTATATAAAGAAATCTTTGCCGACGAATAGCCATCATGCAGCAATTTTTCATTTCACTCTTCTTGACATTGCATGTTGCATATGGAAAAGATAAAAAAGACATTAGTAATAAAAAAATTTATTACATTTTTTATACGTTGCATTAATTGCATTTTTCGTTGCTGTTATGTTCATATCAAAAAATTGTGATAAATAAGATTAGAACAATCAAAGGCAGAGATATTAAACGAAATATTAAATATTTCAGTCGTGGAATGAACTGCAAATGTGTATTGTACACATCGGACAATCTATTCGTTTATACTATATACACGTATATATAGAATACATTAGATGAGAGACTATTAGCCTTATTTACTAAGTGAGTGTGCATATTTATATAATGGAAGATATAACGACGACAGTTATGTTAAACTGCACAAAGTGCGAACAGATATTTACATATTTACTTTTCGACAAATAATAAAACAAATAAAGAAATTAACTGATTGAATGTAACTAGAAAGATCAAACAATATCTTTTGGTTTGTCATCTTGCGTTGTTTTTCGGGGTAGAATAGCAACCAAAAATGCAGACACTGTAAAGTAATTAGAAATGGTAAAAAACATTTTTATAATGGATGGGGAACCTTAAACAAAACTACAGAACAAATAGAAAACTGAATGGCAAGAAATGCGTTTTTTTAACATACAATTATTTCACCTTATTATTCACCTTATTATATCAACCTATTATTTTGTGTATAAAAGTACGATTATCAAAAAATTAATAGTTTACGAGATATTTCTTATTTTATTTCAAAATGTGTCAGAATAAAATGTAAAATATTTTATAATTTATTTATTGACTTTTTTATATAAACCCCTATCTTAATATTTTATATACAGAATAATTAGAAAAACTATTATATGTATATTGCGTAAAAACTCTTATGATTCTAGTTTACAAAATGTCCATGATTCTTATTCAACCTTTGAAATTAATTTTATTATTACTATCCTCCTTCAAATCATATAACTTTTGTCTAAAACATGTTACCATTTTTGCCTAACATGTTGAATTTTTGACATATGCATATGTCATTTGTTTTAGCCGTTTTAGGTGCCCCACGAGATATACATAAAATATATATTATATTCAATGTAAACATATGGATGCTATTCAATATGCAAATATTGTTTTTACCTAAAGAGGCTAAACCTATCATGACGAACGGTCCTAAACATGATAGATTGAATAAAATCGGAAACAATAGATTGCCAATTACTGCGCCAATTCTTCCCGTCATCATGGTTATGCTAACTGCCGTAGTTCTAGAATAAGAAAGAATGAATATATTAAATAACACAATACGATAAAAGATAATGAAAAATAATGCCATATACATATATTTTTTTAATTAATGTATTATTATTAATACGTAATTAATGATAAGTTAATTGCCATGCCTTAGATATGTAGGAAAATTATCGACAATGATATTAACAACAGTTGCCCCGCCTATACTTGTCATGGCAACAAATACCGAAGACAATCCGAGGATACCATTAGTGTCTTCAGTCCAGTACAATGAACCACAACAAGTAGCAGCGACGATGAAGCAAATTGCTGCACAGAAATTAAATAATTATAAGAATAACAATTAATATTGTATATTATTACATACGTATAAAATTCATAAACATGTACAAACATTTATATAAACATATATAATATTATACACAACAAGTAAGAATTACAGGTCTATAATAGTCGAAGCTGGATCTTAGATGCTTAAATAATTTCCATGTGAATCTATATATATTTATATGTGCACACACACACACACACGCACACACACGCGCGCGCGCGCGCGCGCACACACACACACACACACACAAAATTGGTATACCTATATTATATACATGTGTGTATAATAGTCATTTAAACTGCGCGCCGAATAGGTTTTTCAGACTTAGAAACGTAATAATTGAATTACTGTAGTAATATCATAAATTAAATTGACAAGCAATGTAATAATTTCAATCAGACTTTCAATCAGACATCCTATTGGAGATATTATAGAACCAGAAAAGAATGAAGAGTAAATTGAAAAGAGATTAAAGTTTGAACTAATTTGATCGAAATCCATTTTCCATAAGATTTGTACATGGTTGTTTGAACTTCTACATCCATAGTTTTGATCTTGCTACTTTTAATTTTCATTTGTTTGGATCATTAAAACTACTGTTCGTACTACTGTTCGTAGCTGATGGTAGGCCAGTTATTGTACAAATTTTAGTTAGGTATTGTAATATTTAGGAAGTGGTGTACATATATGTGGCGTAAAAGACAGTTAAAAATTCTTTTTGCAGGCTTGTGAACCGTTACACAAAATGTGTTATAAAGCTGATTGTATTGAGAAATAATGATTTTATTATTATTTATTATACATAAAGAATAAATATATAGCATTTGACAACATTTCTGATTTCCCCTCGTATTTTAAGTAAATTTTTATCTTTCTTTAACATCAAATTACTTACCCATTAACTGCCTCTTTCCAACCACAGTTATCAGAGAACCAGCTACAGTATAACCGATAACACCTGTCATGGCGATGACAATGGAATTGATAAAGACTCTGGAATTCAACTCGACCTAAAATTATTATGTACATTATTTTTATGGGATTTATTTCGCGGCCAACACTTATAAATTAACAATTTACCGGAACGCATACAGCTGTAGAATTGCCTATCGTATTGTTAGCATAATACGTGGAATTAAGATACGACTCTTCCTGATCTAACATGTAACAAAATGAACGCTGCAATCCCGATATATGGTTATCATCCTTCATCACAGTATTTTTATAATTTTCAATCATCGCGAACAGCTGAGGCATCCAAAGTCGGAGCGAATTCGATCTGCACAGTTGCAATCGGCATCAAGCGAACTCTTCAAGTTCCATTTATTTTAGTGATTCCATTTTTGTAGAAAATAAAAATAAAAATAGATGAAGAATTAAACTGACCCTATTGTTGCTCCAAGCTGTATCATTGATATGAGTATCAATCTGAAGACATTGGGTCGCAAGAAGAGTGGCTTTATCAGTTTGCAACAATTCTTCAGCTTGTCCTGTATACGTTCCCCGCATGATTCAATGGAATATTCATCCTCTAGACTTTTTATCTATATAAATTAATAATAATACATTACATTATACCATATCAACCTTAGCAAAAAATATTAGATACCTATATTTTTTTCATTTATCTAAAATTCTGTCACCTGTATTGTTCTCAATTATTAGTTATCAGAATTATACACAAGTTAAAAATGTATCCTTTGTTTCTTAAAACAAAGGATAATACGCACCAAATGTCAATTAATTTTTTAGCTAAAACGTTATATGATAATTAATAAGGTGCTTAATATTTTTGGTCAAGGCTGACTGTATACATATACGTAGACTGCTGGAAAAGTTTCTGCAAACAATATGAAAAAACATGTAAAATTCGGTAAATGGCTTTATTGTTTTTCGAAGTATTCGCCTTTAAGATCGATACATTTTTGCATACGCTCGAACCAATTTTCGAAGCATTTTTTCCACTCTAAGGCTGTAACCTCAGAAATCAGTGTACTAAATTTCAACAGCTGTTTCAGGCGATTCAAATCGCTCACCACGCATCTTAATGTTTGGGAACAAAAAGAAGTCATTAGGTGATAAATCAGGTGAATACGGACAATGAGTCATCAATTCGACATTATTACTGGATAAAAAATCAATGGTTTGATGTGCTGTGTGACAGCTGGCGTCATGATAGATGATTTCGGTTTGTTCTACGCAATTCATTTATGACTTCTGGCAAACAAATTGTTGTATACCAATCAGTATTTACAGTCCTTCGATCCTCTAAAGCCACGGTTATCACATGTCCGGTATAACCGAAGAAACAAGCAATTATTTGCTTGGCAGCACTGCGTGAACGAACAACTTTTGTTGGTTTCGGTTCATTTGGAAATACCCAAACAGTGGATTGTTGTTTACTTTCGGGCTCATACGAATAGATCCATGTAGTGGTCCCCAGTAACGATATTGTAGATCAAATTTGACCGACCTCGGTTGAATTTCTCGAGCATTTCTTTGTTCCATTTAACACGAGCCTGTTTTTGAGCTTCGGTCAAATTGTGTGGGATCCAACGACTGCAAAGTTTCCGTACGCTCAAGTGATCATGCAAAATCGTATGTATTGCTTTCATGTCAATGTCTAAGGATGCCTGAATCTCGCGGTATGTTATATGCCGATCTCGCTCAATCATTTCACGCACAGCATCAACATTAGTGGCAACAACAGACGTAGATGGATGACCTTCACGGAATTCATCACTAAGAAAAGTACGTCCACGCTGGAATTCGGCAATTATAAACAGTCTTATTGGATGGTGCTTCATCCCCAAAAGCCAAATGAAGTCGATCCATGCATTGTTTCGGAGTTAGATTACATTTATAATCGTAAAAAATCATTGCCCGAAAATTTTCATGCGAAATTTCCATTTTCTTACAAAATAACTTCTTTTAAAATACTATACAAACAAAACTAGTTGGCTTGGGTACAAATTGTTAATTGAATTATAGGTTAAAAATATTTAATTTTACGGATATGATAGTAGCAGAACGTTGGCGCCACTGGAAGTACTAGATTGCAGAAACTTTTCCAGCAGCCTACGTATCATTCTTATTACGCTGATTCTTTCTTTAATTAATTTTATAGTCGCTCGATTTATCGAATCTCATTTCTCACTTTCAGTTTCATTATGCGTTTTCTTTATATACGCATCCTCATAAGAAAAATAACACAAGTAAAATTGTTTAGGAGAAAGAGGAAAGAAAATTACATATTTTAAATTTAATTACTTGCTTCCCTCTCTCTATAAATAGGTTTTTATTTTTTAATTCAACTTATATCACTATTCTATATTCTACTTTAAAAGAAGGCCGTCGTATTTAGGACACAATCCGCACATAATAATAAGAAATTTAAAAAATTTTGCTTTGCGGGGGTGCAATATATTCTTTTGTTTATGTTTAATGACATATCAAATTGAGAAAAAAATTTATTAAATTTTAATAAATATTTCTTTGAATAGTTTTAGCGGAATATTTGCTTATAATAAATAAATATTTAGATAAATGAAGAAGATGATAATTAAATCACAAACTAATGGTTCCTATCTAATAGATATCTAATAAATATGTGTTTATATTCAGTAAATATCCCAGCCGCTAGGATTATTCAAAGAAATATTTATTATAAAATTTAGTTTATTTTTTTCTTAGTGTAATTATCCTATTCTAATTTTTTATCTACTTTGAGTTCTGTTTATCATGTTTCACTTTCCTATCCATTTCATGTACTGAATAACATGTCTTTCTTTAGTACAAGTAAGTATTTCAGTAATCGTTTCATCTTTTGCACGTATATCTTTGTTTTTTATACATCCATCATCATATTCATCCACGTCTTCACTAATTATATGTGCATACATGTGAACGTAATGAGATTATTAAAATCATTAAAGTCATTACAATAAATTACATAATGTATTTAAAAATTATGAATATAATACAACGACAATCTCGTAATCACTGTGTGCACTGTATTCTGTATATTTTATAATATTGCCAAAATGTGAATATAGATAAAGCATCATGTTTTTACAATCAAATTTTATGTGTTCCACTCAATTAACATAATATTACTTGTGCCAAGAAGTACAATCAAGCAATTTAAACATATAATTTTTGTTAATTTTACGCAATTAAAATTTTATATTATTTCTAATAAATACATTGGTTAATATATATATGTATATATTTTCGAATATAACATATTGTATATACATAGTATTATCATACTAATATAGAAAGTACAAAAATTTAGTTAGATACAGATTAGAAAATGATTTTGATAGACCATTAAAATAATTTTGCAAAGCGTTTAAACAATAATGATAATGTAAAAAATTTTGATATTTCAGCAACGAATTTGAATGCCCTAAAGAAATATTTTGATAATCCAATAAAACTATTTTCAGATCAGTATCTAAATTTTTTTTTAGATATTTTAACAAAAAAACGTCTTTCCTACATGCACGTACCGGATATGTATTGGGATCCTTGCCAGTATTGAGTGAGTAGATTTTTTTAAACACATTCAATGCCTCGTCATGTCGACCCTTTAAGATAAGAAAACGCGGACTCTCTGGGAAAGCGAAAAGGGCTATGCATGCTAAAAATTCGGGTAGTGAACAAATGACTAAGAACATTCTCCAGGAAGCTATCTCTAATGTATCGCTTAAAAACTTCATGTACCACTTTTGAGGTATTATAAGCCATGCTATACCTGAAAATAAAGAAATTAAATTCAAATTTATTCAAATTTATTTGTCACAAAATGTACATTGAGTATTTAATAAAAATGAAATATTGTGCGTTTTTTCAATATTTTTATTATAAATTTCTAAATCAATTTTAACTCTTTCTATTTCCAGCTCTTACAACATCAGCATCACGTATATTGCAACATTGCACACGTTATCGGCGTTAAAATTTGATGTATAATTTAATTCTCGTCGATGGAGTATGTAGATAAGGTATGTCAAGGCTATACTTACATGGCAAAAAAATGTTTCCCAGTGAGAAGAACACGCCAAGCCACATGTATGACCTCGATCGATGTGTTTCGTTGTGTATTTCCGCTAAATACGACATAAGTGCTGCATATGGACCAGATATACTAAAATTTGTTAATTTTTTCAACTATTAATTATAACAAAATATTCAAAAAAATATTCTATTTTTTTAAAATTAGTATAAAATACATTGCTATATACATTTGCTATAGACACGTGAGAGATTTCAAAATTAGCTGCTTTTTAGTAGAGCATTTCTTAAATTTTTAAAAATAGCGCAAGATATTCATCTATTTCTGCAATAAATATATAATTGCTTTTATCTCTGTTTTATCACTAGGTTATCTTATAAAAGAGTATTTCTTGCAAAAAACTTCTTCTTTCTTCTACACTTGTATCGTTATCTGACTTTGATTTGCGATTTTATTGAAATATTTTCAAATATTTTCAACAATCGTATCATAAAGATTATTGATCACTTTTAAAAAAAGCTCATCTTTAGCATTATATATAATAGTTGAAAACGTAATAACTTTATTCTTAGTTTCTTCTATGCATTGTTGATGATTTTGTTATAATAACAAGAAGTTCGTTGATAATTAATTTTTTAACTTTATCTTTTAAAATATTTTAAATAATACTTTGCTCAATATTTTTTCAAATTACATATTTAATTTTACTATTGACTCGTGAGATATTTAACTTTAGATAAATTTAATACAGATATTATTGATTCTTAGAATAGAATTTACAGATTACAATAAGTCTCCAATAAATTTATTTTAAATAATTAAATTTATTAAAAATCAATAATGGAATATTGAAAAACCGTTCAATATGCATTAATTATTAAATTTTTATAGCATATTTACATATAATGGCTTACATAAAAAAAATCCTCTTTCTTACAGTAAAAAAACTATCAAATTTTCAATTTTTCTCTTTGTGCGATTGTCGGATAAAAATCTGGTTAGCAATAAATGACAAATTATCGGATATATAGTACGATTATCCGATAAATCTTATCTTATATAAACATTATACCCTTATAAATAAGTTATAAATGTGTCATTTTCTCACAAAAAGATATTAGTCCTTAAATGATCAATTGTCTTTCATTATCTCCAAAACGCTAATTTTTATTTGTATCATTTTTCAATTAAAGCAGTATTAATTAGAATATATGCATTGTATTGTAATATCACCACACCGACTAATTCAATTTCAACTTACATCATACCATCAAAAAATTTAAACGTTATTAAATGCCAAGATTTGTGTGAAAAACACATCGCCACGCTTAGTAGACCAGTAAGTAAGTAACCATACAACATTATTTTCTTACGACCAAATATGTCAGTAACACAACCCCAGAAGAATGCCGTAATGATCATTCCTGAAAAAAAATCAACTGTTAGCTGATTCTGCTTTCATAATACGAATTTTTCATCAGGAATTGCTCATTAAAGTAAAGACGAGAAATAAATAAAACGTTTATGTTTTGAAGTAACATCGTTCCTGCATTTGCGGCATGCCATGAATTTACAAAATCGATGCTAGATTATTTGATAAATACGTACCTAGAGACCTCCTAGTTAGAAATTGATTTTAGTTAAAATTAAAGAAGATAAATACTTACTTTTCGTTTTGTAAGAAATCCATTCTAATCGGATTCGAGAGACAAGACGGAAATTTATACATGTAATACAAATATAACTAATGTTTTTTTTCTATAAGAAGCTTTTTATCATTTTTGAAAGCATAATACTAAAGTAATATTTAAATTATTTTATATATTTTTTGTACCTTTAAAAATTAAAATTTAAATATTTAAATATATTGTCTTTCTTACTGTTTTGCTTGCATTTTTTCGACAGAATATCCGCTTTATTAAAATTTTATTGTTGGTAAATAAGAACACATACAACTTTTTGAGAATACATAAAAATATATACGAGTATAATTATGTTTACTTTTCGGTAAAAAATTTTTATGCATGAATATATGTAAATATATATATAAACATACATAAACATATATAAATATTTATAAAGGTATATAATTACATGAAATATGTCCGTACAAGTTTATATATTTTTCTTTCTTTTGTAAAATTATTTTTTATATTTTCATCATCATCATTATTGTTATTATTATTATTATTATTATTATTATTATTATTATTATTATTATTATTATTATTACTAATAATACTTTTGAGGTTTTCACGAGTCTTTTATTCAGAGGTGCCAAAAGATTTGCAGGTTATCCCAGTATTATGATTCATACCTTATATCAACGTTTCGTGAATCTTGCCGTTCATCAGGGCGAGGGGAGAGCATATTATTACTTTTATTACATTAAAAGACAATTTTAAAAAAGAAAGAAGAATATATAAATATGTATGAACATATATTTCATTCATCATACATATACATTCATTTCATGTATAATTATACATGTTTATAAACATTAATAAGATTGGAAATAAGACCGTTTATGTTAGATACATTACTTTAAATACGAAGCGCCACTACAGTTTGAATGTTAAGATGTTGTACTATTATATATATTCATTTAAATGAATATATATAATAGTTCAACAGCTTAACATTCAGATCGTAGTGACGCTTCGTATTTAAAGTAATGTATTTATAAACATTTATATATATTTATGTATATTCATGCATGAAAAATTGTTTACCAAGTTTTTTTAGATATAATTCGTAAATGTGTGTGTGCGTGCGCGCGCGTGTGCATGCGTGCGTGCGTATGTGCGCGCGTATGTCGTATGTGTAGTGCGCGCGCGTGCTAATACACTTTTATCTTATTAATTTTTAATTAGGAAGACAAACAAATTGCAAATGTTTACAATTGGTTCAAAGTTCTTTTAATAAAAAGCATTGCAGATTGCGAGGAAAGCCCCATGATGACTGTACCTTAACGCCTATATAAATTAACCGGTCACTAATTGTTCACAGATCAAAAGTATCGAAAATAGACGGCCGAAAATTGGTTGGTCTGAATTCGCATACGACAAGAAATAAAATGGTACGGTATTTACCGTGAGTTCACGCGTATTGCTCTCACTATTGTCTACGAATGAATCGGCAGTGTACACCGCACGATAATCGGATAATACAGACTTTAAGTATGCCAAGCTATAGGGTTCCAGGGCTCTCATTGAGCTCTCTGGCATCTGTAATAAAGCATTATTACGCAATTGTTAAGCAGGTCAAGATACTACCTGCAAACGCCATCGAATTCAATAGTCCCTTGTCGAACATCGTTAACTGAAGATCACATTCGGCGGATGGTAGTACGTAGGACATTGCTGACGACGAAAAAATACTGGAGAAGCTAGCCGGTAGCACCGCCAGTAATAGCAAATAATTAAATTTTCCATATCCTAACACATAAAAATATTTTAACGTATGCATATTGAATTAGTCTTGTTTTCAATGTTTTCAATAACAAATATTCATAATATAGCACGTTTAACATCTTGAAGGTCATCAATAATTATCGATATAATAGAGGAAATTATTAGCACAAAAGGTAAGTTGACATTACATTTGGTTTACGTAATGTCTAATCTATTTATGACGAAAGAAAGGCTAGAAAAGTTACCGTAAAATATCTCTTTTATAATGTAAGTACCCTAAGTTTAATAAACAAATATTATAATAAAAAAAAGAAAATTTGATTAAACAAGAGATATAATAAGTCTTCAAGTGTTTTAAAATTTCGCACTGCTTGAGAGAATAATTTAAATTTTAGAAAAATTAGTTAAAAGAAAAGTTTCTCACTATGTTCTACATATTATTTTAACTAATAACAGTAACGTTTATAATAAAATAATAAAGTTAAATGTATGTAGACACGTAGAGTATATACGACTTATATTTAAAAAAATTAATGAATTCGATTGGATGCATTCTGTGCGCAACGGTGCACATTACAGTCGTTGTACACAAATTAACATAAAAATGTGTTGAAGTGTTTGCGAGTTATCGCCATGTCGTGATCTATTGCTAATGCCAATGTTTCATGAATCTTACCGTTTATTTCATCAGGTCGAAGAGCGCACTGATACTGTATCAGTGCAATGTGCTCCTCGTCCTAATAAAATGAACGGCAAGGTTGATCATGAAGTAGGACACGGCGATAATCCGCAGACTTTGGCTACAGTGCAGCATATTCTCATATTTTATTTATTATAAAAAAATCTACGCAGGATCATTCCTAGCGTAAAAATATAGAAAAAGTCTCTTTTTAATATAGCTTAATTATAATAATTAGTTATTTAAACGATCGAATATCGAAATTGTGAAAATTGTACCAATGAACCCAAGTCTTCCATATCAATATACAGAGTGTTAATTAAGTATGTTACCATACTCAACAGAGCGATTATATATTAAATAGAGCGTCCATATATTTATATGGACTTTTTTACTTGAATAAATATATGGACTTTTTTATTTGAAATAAACCAAAGAATCGCTCTGTTGAGTATGGTAACATACTTAACTAACTAACTAACTCTCTCTCTCTCTCTCTCTCTCTCTCTCTCTCTCTCTCTCTCT